CAGGCGTGAGCCACCGCGCCCGGCCTTTTCTCTGTACTATCTTTGCAACTAACTTCCTATGAATCTGCAATTATTTCAAAACAAAAAGTTAAAAAGAAAAGATGATCCAGCCCTAGGCAACCACTGATCTACTTTCTCTATACATAAACTGCCTATTCTGGGCATTTCAGGTAAATGGAATTACAGTGATCATCTTGCGGGGACTTCGTAACTAATACAAGACTGTTTTGGTTGAGAATGACTAGCTTTATGAATAGGCTAAAGCTTTTGAAAACTGTCGTAGTCATAAACAGTAGGCAAACTATTTCTCAGGTTTCTGATATTTTTGGGTTAGGCTTGGCTTTTTTTTTGAGACAGGGTCTCACCCACACCCTACTGAAAGATCAGTAGGTGCTGTACAAAACAGTTACGTCTATAGTAGGTGAAGAAGGAAGATGTAATCTGCAAGCATATCACCTAAAATCAGATTAACTGATACAGCGATACAATGTATTGCATATGTGGCTTGCATTGTGTTTCTCTTGGACAGCGTTTTTCTAGAACCTGTAATCTAGAGTACGCAGTTGGACTGGGTTCCCCCTGGAGAGCACACTGTGCCTGGGGAAAGCTGGGTTAAGGGAAAGTTTTTTATTTTAAGTCATTCTTGCTATTTGATATTTAAAACATGTTAATGAAGTTTGATAACAAATTTCCTCTTTAACAAAGGCTATGTTCTCCACCTTAAAACATCTTGATTTGTCATGTTCTTAATTATATAGTAAATGTTAGTCATAGTAAGGAAGCTTGTCGTTAAATGTAATAATTATTTTGTCTGCTGTTTTTCCCGGCATTTCAATTTCCTATATCAGAAATGAAATACTTGTTTTCCTTGCCATTGTTTAGCTTGTTGAGGAAGTGACCGGGGCACTACCTTCTAGAAGTAATGCCCACAGAAAGCGGAAGTTGTTCGACCTCTCGCCAAGCAAAACAAAAACGCAAGTCACACAGCCTTTCCATACGAAGAACCAACAGCTCGGAGCAGGAGCGGACGGGGCTGCCAAGAGACATGTTAGAAGGACAAGTAAGTTCCGTTGGTCAGGGCCTTCTTGGTGGTGGCTGTGTTTGTAGTGTAATAAAAATAGCCATGTGTGTACAGGTCTCCGAAGTAGAAAAAAGGCTTGGGTTACTAAAAATAATCCTCCCCAAATTCCCAACAATAAACCCATTAAAGGTGCCGTCAAATACAGCGTCATACACAGATGGGTTCACGTATTTGTAATACTTAATAACAAAAGGAAGTAGCTGTGACAATTTGGATTAGTTTTTATTCTCTGTACAGGTTAGTTGACAGCACAACTTTGAGTTTTCTGTCTTTAATGGTCCCAGGAAAAGCACATCATACAATTTTAACGATCTCTTTCTGTCCTCTGAAGAGTTTGTGGAGTCGGATATTCTGTGTTACCCGTATCCTGTCTCTGCTGCTGTGAACATGCCATCCTTTGGTTGGATAACTAATATTTTATTGATGAAGATAAGTTTTGCTTAGCATTTTTCTAATTTCTTTATAGATGATGAAAATATGTCAGAATTTTAAAAGAATATTATTGTGAAGCCTAGACAAAAGTATATGTTATATTAAAACAAATTATAGATATATGTGTTTATAAACGTATATACCATTTCTTCACAGTTAGAACTAACTCATCAGCCACAATGCTGTAGGAGAATGAGGCTTAAATCTGAGAAACTGGCTCACGGGAGTCTTGGATCTTGTGAGAACTTGTGGTACCTTTGTGGCCGGGACTTCCAGGCTGTGACCTCCGCCAGGGCAGCAGTGTGCACTCAGAGCCCAGCACCATTGCTGCCACGAAGTACATATCTACTAGAATTATTATATGTTCAATGAGTCAGTAAATAAATACCAGGTTCTGCTTTCTATAAAAGTGATTACACATTAATTTAATGGTGGAAATAAAATCAGAAAGGTAGCTTTGATGTTCTTAGTTGGTTACTTTGCTAGGGCTGCCATAGCAAGGTACCACAAACAGTAGCTTCAATGACAGAGTTTGTTTTCTCACAGTCCTGGAGGCTGTGTCAGGGTTGGTAGGGTGGCTTCTGCCGAGGCTCTGTCCTTGCCCTGTGGGTGCCGTCTTCTCCCTGTGTCCTCACGTGGCCGTCCCCTGTGCGTGTCTGCGTCCCCGTCTCTGATGAGACACCCGTCCTCCTGGACGAGGGCCCACATGTATGGTCTCATTTTACCTTAATCACCTCTCTAAAGACTGTCTGTCCAACTACAGTCACATTCTGAGGTCCTGGGGGTCAGGACTCCAACATATGAATTTTGGGGCTCGATTCAGCCATAGCACTTTCACCCTCCAGGTGAAACCGGAGCTGTGCGGTAGGACTTTGGTGATGATGGAAATGTTCTCCGTCTGTGCTCTCCGACACGTGGCTGTTGAGTGCTTAAAATGTGGCTGGTTTTTCAGGTCCTGAAATTTTAATTTTTAAAAATTTAAATACTTTACATTGAAATTTCAATAGTCAGACGTGGCCAGTGGCTGTTTCACAGTGTGTGAAAGCAGTCAAAGATAGGTTTGTAAAATTTTTCAACTCACTTATATTTCTAGCGGTAGAATTCTAAGACCTCCTTTGCTGGCATATTCTAGAGTCACCTCTGCGTGAGGTAACATGTTCTTCTCCTGGCCTTCTTGAGTGCCTGCCCTCCATTGTGACACAGGACAGGGAGGTCACTGCATCTCATGGTAACCTTTATGAAGGCAACGCGGCCGTCTCCAAACCGAGTGGTGTGTGGGTCCTGCTCCTCCCACCGCTCTGGGCGGGGGGTGTGGGTCCTGCTCCTGCTTGTTGCCCCCTGCAGACCTTCAGGTGGGGCTGGAGGTGGGAGGGGGCACAGGTGTGAAGCAGGTGGTTCAGCTGAGAGCTTAAATTAGTGTTCTCACTTAACAGACGTTGTGCTCCATCGGTAAGGTTTTTCTTTTTTCTTTCTTCACAACAGCCTTTTAGATACTGAGTAGCATTATAGGAAATAACCTGTTTGTTTTGCTTGAAGCGCAGTGGATGTAATGGGAACTCTATCAAGGCACATCTGTTAGCGTGGACCATGTTAAAATACACTTACGATGGCATACCATGGAGCTCAAAGGCTGTTTATAACGTAATTTCATTTTGGGAACTGCCCTCCTCCGCTGCACATTTGGAAGTTTTTGAATGAGGTAGTCTATGTCCATTTTTGTAAAGGGAAGGTTATGTTATTTTGAAGACATGCTTGTTCTTAAACCCCATGTTACCCTAGGTGGCCATTTATATAATTTTGTTTATAATGTCCTCTAAAAATTTGGAACTTAACTTCCTTAAGTCTTATATGTATGAGAAGAAATAAAATCCATAATGTTGTAAAATAAGAATTTAAGATAAAAGATAGTTAACTTTGGAAATACCACATTGATACGGCAATACCACATTGGTACTTGGTATTGCAGTTTCTTATTTATTCATTCACTCACTCATTCATTCATTCATTCTGAACAAAATCTTTCCCTGCAGGATTCCAAACTGCCGTCCTCTGTCCGCAGTACACTTCTGGAACTCTTTGGTCAAATAGAAAGAGAGTTTGAAAACCTTTATATTGAAAACTTAGAATGTGAGTATCTCCTATCTTAATATACTTTTATAACATTTTACTTACCCATGGAGATCTTTGAGAGTAACATTCGTGGGGAGACGTTCACTGCTGTATAGTTTTCTGTTTTGCTGTGACAAACCTGGTGGCTTAAAGTGGCACATGTGTGTGGCCTTGCGGTCTGTCTTCCTGGTGTGGCCCTCTCCGCACTCAGGTCAGGGTGGTTGCCGGGCTGTGACAGAGTCCAGTCCCTGGCAGTTTTGGACAGAGGTCCCCCGACTGCCCCCTCGGGGAGTCCCCTCGTGGCTCTCTGACCCCCCTTCTGCCTCTCCTCTGTTCTGAGGCTGCGTGTGATTGGGCTGGGCCCCTGGATACGCTGGGTAACCCCCGGCCGATTCCCTCCTGGTCTCCACAGCGTGGTGACAGCCCGGGTGCTGTAGGCCTGCTCAGTGGGCAACTGCGCAGCGGGCTGGCTCATCCCCTCAATGCCTGTGTCATTCTGTGCCGTGTCACAGACCTCCTTCCTTCTGAGGCTTCTCTTTTTCCTTATGATTCTGTGATTCGTATTTACTATACATTCTTAATCTCTGTTGTGTATAATCCTCACTTAGCAATTACGTGGCCATACAGGAGCCGTTACAGGTGGTTACCGTGTGACTTTCCCCAGTTGCAGTGTTCTCAGCGAGACTGTCCATATTGTCACTGAATTTCGGACAGTATCAGAATATTGTTTTTAATGCACAGAGTCAAGTACAAAGGAAACCGTTGACATGCGGGAGCCCTGCTTGAGACCCTCCCTGGTGATAGCGCCTTCCACAGGGTAGCAGGAGCATGTCAGCTTTTAGTTTTGGAATGATACCTTTAGTGATGTCTTGAGTTTTGGGAACTCTGTGAATTGTGATCTTGCTTATTAGACTATTTTTCGTGTCTTTGTTTAGATGACACTAACATACAACATTTTTATGTGTGCAAGTTCCGGCAGTGGTGAGTACATTTAAACCTAAAAATGTCCTTTACATTTTTGAAAAAATTTTTTTATTCCCAGTACGTAGAGAAATTGATACTCTCAATGAACGTTTAGCTGCCGAAGGACAAGCCATTGACGGAGCAGAACTGAGTAAGGGCCAACTGAAAACCAAAGGTAAGGAGAACCTGTCCAGGTGTGGTCCTGCCATACACGTGCAGGACGCTGGGCATTCCGTGGCGGGTGCTGACTGGTCTGCTTTTTGCTGTCAGCAAACCTGGAAATCCCTAGTCGGGTGTGGGTCTAGAGGAATCAAGCTCTCAGGAGTTGGGGCTCTTGTCCACCCTGCCCTGTCTTCGTGTCGCCACGGACACGCGAGCCCTGCTGGGCTCCTGCGCTGCGGCTCTGCGGGGTGCGCCGTGTGACTGTTGCTTCTGTCTCTGCAGCCAGCCACAGCACCAGCCAGCTTTCTCAGAAGCTGAAGACCACGTACAAGGCTTCCACCAGCAAGGTACGCAGGGCGCTGGCTCTCCACCCGGTCATGTGGTGCTTGAGGTGTGCAGATGTGTACTTCAAGTTGCATATTTTCCAGTGAGAGAGGTGTAATACAAAAAGATAAGTGGTTTTTAGGAAAGTTTAATTTTTGAAAGGAATATCATATGTTAAGTGGCCCAGGAGGCAGGCACTTAGCCACTAAGTTATCCTGGTATCATTTGGGATTAGTATCTTCTGTATTAGTAAATATATTACCTTTAGTGGGAATATATATTTTTTATTGTTAATTGGCTTGATATAAAGGCTCTGAATTTGGAGAAAGCTAGTAAATAGGTAAAAAGTTATGAAAACTATGTCCTGAGCTAAAGTTACATCTCAGTTCACTATCTTTTTTCTTCAGTTTTCTTAAGTGTGGTCAGGAAGTGCAGGTCTGTCTCTGAGGCAAATGGGGACATTCACGGTGTTTTGTATTTTCTTAACGTATCTTGTGCTGACCTTCTTAGAGTGGCTGGGATCTAATTGGGAACCCATCTGTCTGTGACAGGCACTACTCTGAAGTACTACTTCGAGTTAATTGTGTATGCATCTCTATTTGGAGTACTTTAAGGATACAAAAGATTAATTACCTGACCTTAGCGAATACACATTCCTTTTTGCGAAACCTAGGGGGAAAGTTGAAATTTCCAGTGAGTCTGCCATGATTGCATCAGCAGTTATGTCAGCTTTCTATGTTTTCCAATGTGTTCCCTCGAGCTCACCGTTACTTAGCACAGCGTCTATAGCTAGAGCAGCTGAAAGTCACGGAGCAGTTTCAGTCCTTCTGCTGTTTCTCCTTAGTTGAAATTTTTTGTTACGAAAAAAATTCTCAACTCGCTGCATTTTCTAACTGTTTACTTTCCTTTGATGACATCTAGAATGTAAGTTGCTAAATTATTTGATTTTTCGTCATGTAATATCTAGCCTACACTTGTAACTTTTTAATAAATTAACTTTAATCTTTTTCTTCAAAATGAAGTGTGAAGTTATGTTCTTTCCCGTTTAATTTCTTATTACATTATCTTGAATTATGTGCTTTTCCTGGTGCTTACAGTTGTATGTGTGCAATGTGTGGTCTTAGAATTCCAAACCTGTCTGATTATTTCTGAAGCAGAGGAAGAAAGGATTACATAGAGTTATCCTTTACCATGAGCAGTAAAAAATAAGATTTGGACAATGGTAAGGGTACGTACAGTAATACTTTAATTTAAAAATGCATTAGAGATGTTTAAAGCCTCAGTCATTTTAGGTACTAGAAATTCATCTGAATTTATAAGAAACGTATTACTCATGATCTTTATAGCATTTTGCATACTGTGTGTACCTATCTTCAAAAATAATGATGAAAATATAAGACATTATCTGAAAATTTCACATTGTGATTTGTACTACAGCATGGATTCTTGGTATTAACGCTAAGCATGAATGCAACAAGAACAATTCATTACTTTGCCTCCGTCTGACTCAGAGCCCTGAAAGGCGAGTGGCGTGTTGGCGAGGTGTAGTGCAAGCACGCAGGTGTGCGGAGTGACCAGGAGAGGCTTCTCCCTTCCAGGGGTGGCCGATGATGTATTTCTCATGCTTCCTGGGAGGGAGGTGAGGCAGTCTGACCTGCAAACCGCTTTGAAGAGACTCGTGAGGTGTTTGCAAATGCTTTTATAAAGACAGGCCTCT